CTTAATATACTCCGCTCTGAATGCGTACATCAACGGTGAAAACAGACTCGAGTGAAGAAAAAAGATTCTGAGGTTTTTGGCGCCCGCCGTCACCTATATTGAGCAGTGTCAGCCAATCAGGTGATGGCGGGACCGCCATTTGCTATTTGCAAGCAAAAGAGTTATTCTATCAGACTTCATGATTCGAGGAAAATGGATTTCCCCATACGTAATGTCGAGAGACCGACTCGATAAGGGAAAACTGCGCCCAACGATACAGTCAGAATCTGAATTGATACTGAATCCATTTAGCCTACCATGGATTTACTGTAAGGTTAGCCTAGTAATATTAACTGCACCATGAAATGTGGGATATACATATTGAATTGTATAATATTATTAATGTAGACAATGTATTAAATGACTAATGGGATATAATTACAGTATTTAATAATGTATTTCACTGTTAGGCTACTGTTTTTCATACAAATACCATAGAAACTATAAAGTTACATTTTGCCATGATAGTGAGGTGCTAAGTTATAGGCTATGCCTGGTTTTATCTGTGGTTATCATGATCTAAATGCATGATACTGGATGACCAATGGTTAATTTTAATAAAACTCAAACAGTCAGAATATTACATTTTACCAAATAAAAATGTGGCCGTTAATTTTTTTTTAAACAGATGTTACTGTTATTGTTAATGAACATAAATTTAACAGAGTAGTATTAGCTTGAGTTAAGATGCAGATTTACTGTCAACTCACTGTCAAATATGCATTTCGAGACAAAACATGTAATTTGAATATTGCAGTCTGCACTGCAAACTGTGCTGAAGAAATATTTTTCTATTCAGATATTAATTTTGTTAAGGAAAAATGACAAATGTTTGAATGTTCTTCTACCTCAGATTTGTGAAATGTTCACCTGTTTGGCAAGTGTTTGTCATGATATGTTCTGACAATAAAGAGTAGTTTAAAACCACAATTAACGCTCTGGTTTATACAACTTTCACTTAGGAGCAAAAATCTGCCTTTAAACTTGAAAGAAATAAAGATTTGACATTTATCGTGATAATTATCGATATCGACTGATATAAAAAAAAATATCGTGATAATTTTTTTGGGCCATATCGCCCAGCCCTATTCAGTAGTACATAAACCGTGCAATCCATGCTGTTGTTTACATCCGAGTGCCTCCATAATGGCCGCGCATCCGGGTTACCGCCCAGAACGTGACGTTGGTGAAACACCTCTATTGTGTGGCGGTGTGTACAGCCCCAAACAGCGCACAAACAGGCATTTTTCTCAATTCCCGGTATGAGAGGTATGGGAATTTAAGTTGCCATCCCCAACATGGCGGCGCCGTTGACGTACGCTCCAGCGGCCAATAGGGCGTCTATGTATTTATTATGTCTATGCTCGGAGATGACTGGCTCCCTGGCGTGATCCCATTCAGTCGATGTCGACTACGTCCAAATAGAGGTCTCTGCAGACGGTAATAGGAGTTACCAGATCAGGGGGCGAGGCCATAAACAGAGGGGCGTTTTCAACCGCGTTACCTGATTTGCCCACGTCACAGTGTGGGTAGGTCTTAGGGGTGGGGTCAGGACATCAGTTTCATTGCATGATTTATAAACACCCACCAGTGTGAAAACACCCACAAATTTAGAAACACCCACTTTTGTTCCGCAGACACCTCCTACTCACTACGTCTGACGTTATCGACTGAAAGGCAACTACATTAAATAGGCTATATATTTTTTTTGAGTTCCTATTCGCTCAAAAAGCAAAAGAAAAATTCCACAATAGTGTTTTCACAACTTTCTAAAAGAGGAAATAGAGAGAGATTGATAACGGCAGTCAGAAGAGAGAAATAGCCTATGTCAAGACCGTCACTCCCACAGCCACTGTATTAAAAAATACCCTAATAGCAGCGTCAACTTGTTTCTTGTAATGTATTTGATGTCTAATATACTACGAAGTATAGTGTTATGAATACATTTGAAAAAAAACTGGACGAGAAGCTCAGCTATAACAACTCTAGGACAACTCGCAGCCAGATATCGCACAACTGACGCGCACAATCTTCTGTCACTATTTGAACATTTTACCTATGTAACAGTTTACATAGGTAAAATAGACCTATGTAAACTGTTACGCCCTACAGGCATAGGGCCAGAGCCGGATTAACGCAAAGGCAAACTAGGCACGTGCCTAGGGCCCGATTGGCGGGATGGGGCCCAGACACAAATAAAAAAAAATAAAAAAATTACAAATGTCATATCTACAATTTATTTCAATATTTATTAATTAACTAAAAATAGTGACGATGTTTATCTTAACCATAGACTGTTATACGTCACATTAACGCCAGCCCATCAGGTGCTGCGAAGCAAAAGCACGCAAAGAAGCACAGCTCGTAATGCAGGTGTGTGCGTTGTCGTCATCTATTTTGGAGTGATTGCAATGTATTCTAAATATAAACTTGTAGGCCTACTGTAGATCAGCGTCATTTCTAGAAAAATCATTCACCGCTTTATTACGAGTTTAAAAGAGCGCGAGCGTCATTAACGTGCCCAGACGCGACGCTTTGAATTTGCACATACAATGAATAACATCGCGTCGGGAGCTGACTAAAAACGCTACAAAAGTAAAAGACAAGACGTTTGTATTCAAAGTTAAAAACCCAACACACTACAACATTTTTAAATGTTTCAAATAAAGGATCTCATGGCCATGGGTCTATCTTCTAAATTCTGCTGATGATTAGATTATACCCTGACATCAGCCTACTCGCGCCAATAATATCAGTTTAGAATTTTTTTTCTAATCAGTAGCGGTCGTGTCTTTCTCTTCCACTTGATTTGTGTATAGCATATTTAAGCTAGCAATGCAATGCATAATATCATATTACTTATATTAATAATAGGACAATATCTGCAGTCAATATTGATTAAATGGGAGGGGAAAATCCTGCCCATACCAGCTATGAAAAAATGATAAAAGCATATATCACTGAAGTGGTATTCTGGAACTGTGAATAAATTGAATAAAACAGCAAAATAACAATAACAATAACATCTTCATTAAACAAAAAAGAGATTACCTTAGATGAAGTTTGATTAATATGTACATTAGCCTACTGGTAAAAAGTCTGGACCAATTACTATTTTTAATGTTTTTGAAAGAAGTTTTTTATTATGCTCTACAAGCCTGCATTTATTTGATCAAAAATACAAAAAAAACCCCCAGGAATATTCAGCAAGGATGTGTTAAATATATAAAAAGTGATAGTGAAGACTTTGTTAAAACAACTTTTTAATAATAAAAAAAAAAAATCCTGAAAAAAAGTATCACAGGTTATAAAATAAATATTAAGCACCATTTCTAACATTTGATAATAAATCAGAATATTATAAAGTTGTCTGAAGGATCACATGACACTAAATTCAGCTTTGCATCCCAGAAAATATATTTTAAAGTATAGTAAAATAGGAAAACCATTATTTTAATAATATTTCACTATATATTATTTTTCTGTATTTTTTATCAAATACATCCAGGCTTGATGAGCATAAGAGACTTCTTTCAAAAACATTAAAAATAGTAATGTGTCCAAACTTATGTAGTACTGTGTAAGTAAAAACATTTAAAATTAAATGTTGTATAAATTAAAAGGTTAGGAATCATATTTGTTTCAAGAGTTTTTTATTGGGGGTGGGGGGCCTCCAACATGAATATTGCCTAGGGCCTCCAAATCTCTAGAACCGGCCCTGCATAGGGCGTAACAGTTTCGTTAACTGAATTAATTTAGAATCCCACCTGAAAATCCGATAACATCAGCAATCTTCCTCCACGCTGATTTCCGTTTTTTGCCGGATTCTGTTTAATTCTGGGTATTTCCCAACTTCGTTGAGTGTTTCGTACTTTTCGTTATCGCTACGCTACCCAACGCATTGAAGTAACGTTAGTGTGTTGTGATCGTTGTGACCTGTAAGTTACCTCCAGTAGGCGGAAGCACACGCCAGTTAATGTCATCATGACATATTTCGCGCTCAGGTTAGTATGGGAAAAATGGCAAAACAGAGCTAAATGAAAGAGTAGAAAGGATTACGTTTATTAAGCCTATATTTTTCCTACATGTTTAGGCTTTATTCAAGCTGTAAAACTAACTGTAAAAAATAAATGTAATGTATTGCAGCACAAGATACATATTTCTCAATATATATATATATATATATATATATTTTAAAAGGCAATAGTTTTAGCTTTACTTGCCTTGAAACATGTAAGCCCAAACTTAAACATCTGCACTTTTGCTATAAAAAAAAAAAGTATAAATGCATAGATAGGCCTACTGTAGGTATAATTTTTAAAAAGCCTATATGTATTGGTATACCATTATTACAAAAAGATACATTGTGTATGTTCTTGCTAAATTGCACAGAAATGTAAGAATTGTAAGTACCCCTTAGTTCTATAATACTTACAGTATACATTTTTAAATGTTTTAATTCTCTTGGTTGTTACCCCTTATTCCCCAAACTTGACATATTGTTCCCTTATACTTACATGTAAGTACTTTATAGGTACACTATAATTACAGAAAGTTAAATTTGTCTTCATTACGCAGTACTTTCCAGGCTGTAATCTAAAGATTTACCAAAAAATTATATAAAATGCACAGTCATTTAGAAATATGTTTACGGGTCGGTTTTTATGTTATTAATTATTATTCTAGCACTGACCATGCAGTTTTTACACACTTTATTAGAATTTAATTCATAAGGGTCCATGAGAAGGCCAAAGATCAACACTGGTGGACTCAGAAGGGCCCTGAATGCAAAGACATCCAGCACTCATATATCATGCAGACACTTCAATCACATACAAGAGTCTTGAAAAAACAGATTTGTTTTGCACTCCTATGAGAAAGGTTCAGTTAAATAACAATATGTACTAGGTCTACTCAAAAAGTGAAACATCAAGAAATACATTTTTATAAGTGTTTCATTATTACAACAGCATTGTTCTTGAAGAATTAGTCTGAAATACTCTTTTGGATAGAATGATTCTGAATGCATTTCTGAACCAGCTGTAAAAGAAGGCGTACACTATGGGATTACATGTAGAATTATAGTAGCCGACCCACAGGAACAAGTCAAACAGCAGTGGAGGTACAGAATACCCAGTGAAGGGATCTATAAGATTACAAAGGAAAAAAGGTGTCCAGAAAGTCAGAAACGCCCCCATGATGATGGCTAAAGTCTTAGTGGCTTTTCCCTCTTTTTTTAATTCAGAATTCACACTCTGAATGGCCTGCACCTGCCTTTTAGCCACATGTAAGATTTTCAGATACATGCAGAGTATGACAAAAGTGGGAGCATAAAAACAGATTAATGAGAATACACTAGCTCCAGCTTTACTCTGAAACACAAAGCAGCCTCCATCACAATCTATGTTCTCATAGTAAAAATCTTCAATGCCAAGAATATTAAGCTCCATGAAGATCATGCCAAACCCCAGAGCAGCTGAAACAGTCCAGCTGATAATAATCATAACTAGTGTGGCCAGTGATGTCATTTTACTGTGATATTGAAAGGGGTGACATATGGCATAATATCTGTCTAAAGAAATGATACAGAGGTTTAAAATTGACGCAGTGCACAAAGTCACATCAAGACTGCTGTGTATTTTACAGAACAAATCTCCCAGATACCAGCACGTCTCGATGGAGCGCAGCATGCTGGGAGGCATCACAACTCCTCCTACAAGCAGATCGGCCACGGCCAGCGACAGGATGAGGTAGTTAGTTGGTGTGTGAAGCTGCTTGAAATGAATGACCGTAATGATCACCAACAGGTTTCCTATGATTGTGACAATCGACGAGACACTAAAAAGGATGTAGAGTATTATTCGAGTTTCCAAAGGATAGACAAACTTCTGACAAGACGCGTTACTAAACTCATAACACAGAAAAGGCTTTGCCAGGATTCCATTATGGCTGATGTTGATTTGTGCATCCATTTACACAATTCTGATTCACCGATCTGTAGTAAAGAAAAACGTTAGCTGCCGACATAGCAAACATTTAAGCTTATTGTGCATTTCAAATATTACTGTTGTCCTATACTACTGTAATCATAATGACAGTATAAGCTTTTAAATTGGTTTTCTAACTGCACACAAAAAGCAAATGTACAATAAAATCAGTTTAGGCATATAAAAAAGAGAGAGAGAGAGAAAATCTAAACTGTAAATTGGTTTTGATGAAATAATGATCACAGATTACTTTATAATTATCTGCAAACAAAGTTCAGTATAACATGACTTTACCATCCAGACCCATACCTCTGTTTTTCAAGTGGCAACGGCACCTTATGGAGTCTGAGAGACCAGATTTATAGTAAAGCAAAATCCCAATAGAACATCCCTTTTGTCATCAATTGGATGGCCTTATCTGTATGATTGACAAAATAAAGAAAACAAAAACAGAACCCCCCCCCCCCCCAGTTTGGCACGTCTGTCATTAGAAAGCATCATGAATAATTAAAGGTGCTGTATGTAAGTTTTTGACTGTACTAAAGCATAAAAATACCATAATATGTTTGCAGATATATAGGAAACATGCTGAGTTCACATACTTTTTTCTCTGAAAAACAATGCTACAGCCAGTTATTTTACTTTGAAATGTATGTCCCGTGTCAGAATGTCTGTTTTTGTTTTGATGCGTGTGAGACCGCATGTTGCCAATTTACCCAATAGTATTTCGCCACAACAGGTTGCCAGTTGGCGGAAAACACAGCATATTGCAGCCATGGAAGCCTGCAAACAAACTGGTTCAAAGATCGCAGATTCTACCCGACCTGAAAAGCCTCCGCACCCATCTAAAAACCTCTATGAACGGGAGCATATTGAAACGCGATATAAATCAATAAATCAACTCATCAACTTACAGTGTGTAAGACTCGCATTCCATTGTCAATTGCGCTTGTTCCTGTTGCGTGTCCTCAATCTGGGAACCATGATTGTTAAGTCTGAGCAGGAGGTGGGCGGGGGAAACTACTGAGTAGCCTACTCTCACAAAAATATTTGCAATTTGGACTGCAGTATCCATTTCAACCGCTAGCTGTCATACTGCACCTTTAAGAGACAGTAATAGGATAAGAAAACTCATTCTAATGAATAATTATGAGACACAGACGAGTCATTGAAGTACTATCGTTGACACAATGTAGATTTTAAACCCGGAAGATGAAAATAACAACAACAAAAAAAAGAAAATTAACCAGTTTTCCCCTACAATTAAAGGTTGTATCAGTGATTTCAGGCCCAAACATAAATGATCACATTCATCTAATCTTTCCTGACGATCCGCTAGCTGCCCGCCCCATAAGCAGGCCGTCAAAAAACCCGTCTCTGTAGGCAGCCTAGGCTCTGAGATCTGCACACAAAAACAATTGGTTTCACCAACCACTCAAAACCCAAATAAATAGTGTTCCAACCCTATGGTTCCAACCAATCACTGACAGGGGGTGGGTGTTGTGAGGTTTTGCGCTCGTGCACGGCTGCACGCGAAGTCGGAGCTGAAGAAGAAGCCAGCGTCTATCAACGAACAAGAGAAATTGAACATGGAGTCAATCCCCAAGAGGAGGAGGAGGATTAGGACGAGGGAATACCATCGTGTGTATTCCAAGACACGAATAGTTATCGGGAAGGCTTTTGAAAGGTGGAGAGAACTTAAAGAACTGAACATTTTTAAATCGGACGCCAAGGTTGCACCGTTTCTTCTGGACAGGTGAAGAGCTGCTAGTGCTGACTTTTTTGGATGTGAACTGTGTGTGAAAATATCCTTCTTGAAAAAATATGAGTGAAGCTCGACTAAACTTGGGTAGCTCTAGCTAACGTAGGCGACATTATGCTGAACAGAGTGAATATCAGATTGTAGGGATTTAGTGTGTGAGTTGCGTTTGCGTCATGATGCACGAAACGGGAGGGAGGGAGGGGCGAGCTAACTTGGTTTGTTTGAGATCTCGCTTCAAACACAAACGGAAGTGACGTCACCCACAATCGCTGATACAGCCTTTAAATATAACAGATGCTAACATTGTCTTCAATGATGTTCCACACTGTTAAAATCTCAGAAAATTTAGTTTAGGGTTTCATGACCCTTTAAGTGAAACTAGGGACATTAATGGGACACAGCCATTTGGTAGGTGCTATTCTTTATTTTGACCACCAGATGGCTACAACGTTCACCATCACATGTTGAAAAGCTTGAGAGGAATGAGTCGGTTGCTCACAAAGCTTCATTTAACCTTCACCAGAAATTACCAACGGAGGCGGAGCCCCTAAACGGACCTTAGAAAAAATTCTAAATATACAGACTTTCGAGTGCTCACGAGAAAATGTTGCGTGCACATGAGAAACTTTTCCAATTTCTTTGCGTGCTCACGTTACAATTTCCATATTATGTATGCTGTCTATATTTTCTTTGTGCGTCACTGCCATTTTACAATGAAGTAAATTAGAGTATGGATGCGCATGAATTAATAAAGATCTGTTTGCTCTAAATTTGGCTTTTGTTAGGGCAGCATGCCTCTAATATCATGGCCTTTTGTCCGCTTTAAAGCATTCTCTCAAAAATAACTGCATACATGTTTGTAACGACATGAGAGAGGGTAAATAATTGCTTAATTGTTGAAATTGTGTGTGCTCTTGTATATATGGTTTATGAGACCCCTTGAGCCGCAGGGATCACTGGTGATCCCAAATTTTACATTGTTTACATTGATCGCGTGTTTACAATATCATTTTGTCAAGTAATAAGGTTAACCAATACATTGTTTGAAAGATACGACACTGTACATTCGTCTCGTTATAAGCATTATACAATCAAGATAACTTTGCAACCGGTTTTTGTTATTCTTTATCAACATAAACAATGTGATACAACTATGAAGAGGAGGGGGGGGGCTTACCTTTTTTGTGTTGTTGAAATGTAATGCTTGGCAGAATAATGATGACATCGATCTTTTTACCATGGGAAGAGTCCAGTATATGATGTCCATGGTAACGATTTGTCCAAAAATATGCAAACTGTTAAAAATATCCATATAACTTCTATTGTTTACATCCTGAAATTTGCTAATCACGAGGGCGTTGTCCCGTTTATTCGACGAACTATCCACATCTAGTGCATTATTCAATGAAACATAACATATCAGTGTTTTTAGTAGAGTGTCTGGATATGAATGAGATCGGTCCAGAAGATGTCCGATGAAAACTGGCCATGTAATTTTAGAAAGAAGTGAAGGATGTCAGACGCTTTTGGTGACGTATGATCATGCATAATGCAAATATGTGTGGTAAAAAATAAACCAATAGCAATGGAAACTGTTGTGTTGTCACCCAAAGTGAAAGCCTATGCCATAACGAATACGCACATGTGCTGATTTGCATAATCTCGCGTTTATAACAGTGTTCCTTTGTGAGCGCAACCATTTGCTTCCCTGGAAATTTACGCACACGTGACAGTCATGACGCACAGAGGTCACCTGCTCGCGCTAGCACAGTAGCACGCGCTCGCTCTGTGTACATTAGCCTGCTGCAATGCGTTCACGGCGGGGACAGAAGTTATTTTCTCCTGCTGCTGCATTGGAGGAATTTCTGCGAAGCAGTGATGAAGAAAGCGTGGAATATTCAGAAGAGAGTGCTGTAACGTTATCCAGCGTCGACTTTGAAGAAGAGGATATGTTTTTGGAAGGACTCGATCAGTTTCAGGTCGGTAAGTGTCTAAACATCTAAACGTTTTGATTTTCTGCACTATTGCGGCTTAGAAGTACATTGAAAAACAGTGAAAATTCGTTGTGATTCAAGCGCTGAATTAGAAGAAACCCTATACAACATTGAACATATTACTCTATGTAATGTTAGCTATAGGCTATTGTTTTGTGTGTAAGTTAGAACGCAAGACGAAGTTTACAAAATCAAACTTTTCAGAGAAGAAAATGTAATTATATGTGTGTAAGGTAATCAGTTGTGCTAGGTGTATTTCTAATCCTTTTTGTGTAATTCAACAGTGACGAAACTTCAGATGATGCGAGGGTACCAGAGGCCTCTGGACAACATGAAAGCGTCCGTGTGTGGCTGCAGCATCTTCAGCTGCATCCAGATGTTCAAGAGGAAAGAACGGAAGAAAGAGACAGCCCATCACTTTGTGGTAAGCAAATAACGTGAAGCAAGTAAAGTAATGTTTAGTGAGATTAAAAAAATAGCATTTGAGGGCATTATTATTGTCTGATTACAGTCTGTATTAGCTGGTAGTGTAAATGTGCAACCAGAGCAACAATAGTATGGAGGAGAATTGCTGTATGTGAATTATTTTTGAATATAAAATCTGTAAGCTGGTAGTGTAAATGTGCAATCAGGGCAACAATAGAGTCGGTATGGAGGTGAATTGCTGTAAGCGAATGATCTTTTGAATAAAAAAGTCTGTAAGCTGGTAGTGTAAATGTGCAATCAGGGCAACAATAGAGTGGGTATGGAGGAGAATTGCTGTAAGCGAATGATCTTTTGAATAAAAAAATCTGTAAGCTGGTAGTGTAAATGTGCAATCAGGGCAACAATAGAGTGGGTATGGAGGAGAATTGCTGTATGTGAATTATTTTTGAATATAAAATCTGTAAGCTGGTAGTGTAAATGTGCAATCAGGGCAACAATAGAGTGGGTGTAGAGGTAGATTGCTGTATGTGAATGATTGTTTGAATTTCAGATTTGAAAAGGCAATAATATTTATTTATGTGTAAGATAATCAGTTATGTTAGGTGTATTTCTAATCCTTTTTGTGTAATTCAACAGTGACGAAACTTCAGATGATGCGAGGGTACCAGAGGCCTCTGGACAACATGAAAGCGTCCGTGTGTGGCTGCAACATCTTCAGCTGCATCCAGAAGTTCAAGAGGAAAGAACGGAAGAAAGAGACAGGAGCTGACAGGACATCCCACCAAAAGCAAGGTTTTTGACCCTCCTTCTCATACTTTTTGTGGGTGTCACAGTCCCGTGCACATCACCAACGACAGCAGGGCAGGTAGACGCAAATGTAAGGTGTGCCACTGGAATTCTCCTGTGAAGTGTCACAACTGTGATGTAGCTTTCTGCTACCTCCCTAAAAGGAACTGCTTTATTGATTATCATGCACAGAACAACCTCCTAGTGTGACTTCATATTTAGTCCAAAGAATGATAGCACTTTTGCAATAGGGACTGTGAGAGTATATGTACCGGGTGGACGAGTGGGCTTGACAAACCGTCCTTACCTGTGGTAAAACTCTCCTCTATGTGTGCTGGACACTTCTAGTGTGAATGACAACCTCCTGTGACTTTTTAGTCCAGTGCAGGATGGCTAATTTGCAATAGGGATTGTGAGAGTATATGTACCGGGTGAACGAACTACCAGCTAATTGACAAACCATCAACAGAACAGCACTGCCAAACTGTGCAATACTTTGTAAATAGTACATTTGTTTATTTATTTATTCAAAAAAAGTTGGGGGGGGGGGGCTTTTGAGAAATGTGTATCACTGTTGATTGCACTGAACTAAGAAACAGTTGTTTGTAACTATATACAGATGTATAAATAAAAAAAGTTTGATTTGCTAAATAATGTGTCATTCTTAACCATTAAATGGATGGTAGTGAACAAAGACTTTGTTATATATACTTTTTATAAGCAAGTTGCCAAATGTCACTTTAGGGTCCTTTTGGAGCCTTTTCAAAAAAATGCACATAACTGCATTTTTATAAACATTTAGGATGTAAACAATACACCAGAGAAAGTATTTAAGTTGTGCTTTGTCGTATTGTAATAAGAAAATATATTTAAATGATCAAAAAAACTTGTTATAGCTCATGGTAAAAGTTGGTTACCAAGTGTCCCTTTGGAGTCTCCAAGTGGCCTTTTTGGGTAGGTGCCTAGACATGCACTGAAATAAATGCTTGTAAAAAAAATCATTTTTGCTTGTATAAACTTCAAATTTGAAACATACATTGTTAAGACCTATGGCTTTAGTTTGCTTGTGTTTCCAGGCCCCTATATTTTTGCCTTAAGCATTTTTCTTTTTCATAAATATTTATTATACAAAAACAAATTCTCGTCCATTGTTTTTGAGCTTATTTATCTCTCTATTAGTATTTGCTCAGAGCAATTTTAAGTCTTTCATAGTAAACTGTCAAGTGTCAGCTTTTAAATGATACCTTGGTTTTGTGTGTAGCCAGAAGGACTAGTTAGCAACAACCATTTTATTATGGGTATGTCATTTTGCACTCGATTGCCAAAACGTGGGGCGAGTAGTAAGGGGATTTATGAGAACACAAAGTTGTGTAATGACTTCAGTATTACAACGTATCTGTTACGAATTGCTCCGAGACTTGGGTTGGAGATCCAAACTCAGCTTTATTGAGGGTAATTCATAATCGTAATCCATATAACAGGCATAGGGTCCAAACCACAGGGCAATCAATCCAGATAATAACAGAGTCCAAGACACAGGCAAACAGGGAAATCCAGGGAGACAAGCAGAAGATCAAAACCATGACACGGAATTCCAGAAATAACGCTCAGCCTCCTTGGCCAAGATTCGGGACCAGAACGGCCTCACTGGCCGTGACAAGACAGGCAGAGAGTTCATAGGTGACCTCTGTGGTCGTTTCAGGGCAGACTGAGAGTTCACAAGTGGACACCACCGCCTCAGGGAAAACTAGATCAGGTGCTGTCGCTTCGGTAGAAGCTGAATCGTACAAGGCCCAGACACACAGAATGGCAGTTGCCATCTCTGGCAGTGCAAACGACAGTGGTAGGAACTCTGGAACCGCCGGACATGAAAGTGCTGGGACTACCGGGATGCCAGCTGCTCTCACAGACATCAGCGGTGGGTCCACCAAACTGGAAGCCAGTCTTAAACAACTAGGGACCGCCTTAGTAGCTTCAGGTGCAGCATCCATGACGGCAGGAGACTCTGGCATGGCGGCCATGATGACAGGAGACTCTGGACTTGGAAACGCTGTAAGCACTGGACTTGTGTTAATCAGACTGGGGAGTGCTGGGAACTGTCGTGGGCCAAGTTCTGTGGCCACCAGGGCTTGATGCACACTGCCCCCCTCCCCCCAAAAAAATTATTAGGGGAAGGGCCCCCTTTCACTGCCCCCCTCTTCTACCACTCCTGCAGTGAAAGAAGCGCCACTCAGTATTAGTGCATAGTCACATAGACTATAATTAATCTCCCCTCCAGGGAGCCATGATTTAATGGGTTAAAAATTCCCATTACATTTTTCTGATGAAGCTGTGGTAACTGATCGACTGAGTCAATAATAGGCCTGGGTCTCATTCGGCTGCTGGATACATCACAAAGTCCTCTGTTATGAAAAACACATATACAAGTGTGTGTGCGTGTGTATTAATATTCATATGCTTATTGAATTTATTGTGTTATTAAATGAAGAGTATTTCAATGTTTAAAATGAAATGAGAAAAATGCAAAGGATTAAATGCTTTCTGAAAGCACTGTATTATATATAATTTTTGGATATGAATTTTGGATATCTTTCATTGAATTTTCTACAACAAGAGGAGGCTTCACTTGCTGAGGCTACATCCTCCTGTCCTGTGTTTCTTGGGAAGTTGCATTGTCTTTGATAAAAAAAAAAGTGGGGGATTTTTAGGAGAAAATTCTATTCTTGACAAACATAAAAATAAATGTATTGTGTAATATTGAGAATATAGTAAATGTGATTTATTTGACATATCAAAATATTCAGAATTACTTACAAAACCGAACATTATGTATACATGTAATGGATGGGTTTCAAAGCATGATACATGACGCAATTTGGCATTAGTTCACATTTGGGGGGGGGGTAATGCAATACCTAAATTCTGATCTCACATTAAAAAAAATATATAAAAACCCAAATGCTCAGGTTATAAATAATGCATGTGTGATCTGGTTATTTGGCATCATGGTTACTGTACAGAGGTGTAATTATTTCTAGTTATGCCTACATAGCATGGACACATAAAACATATTCAGGATATTTTGGTTTATTTACATTTATATATTATTTACAAAATAATTGTCATTTCTAATCAAGTCTTTCCATCAAGTCAAGTTGAGAAGAATTAACTTGAAATATTTTGGCCAAAAGAATAATTCTTAGAGATTTTCTAAACCATCTATAAAAGAATGCATACACAAAAGGGTTACATAGAGAATTCAAATATCCAATCCACAACAAAACATCAAATACAGCCGGTGGTATTGTGTGATCAAGATACGGATCCACTAGATTACAGAAGAAAAATGGTGCGATGCTCACAAAAAATACCCCCATGATGATTGCCAGTGTTTTTATTGCCTTCCCCTCAGTTTTATTTATAGATATGCTGGTTTTCTTGCCCACGTGTGCTGAATGCTGTATAGATTTTGATTGTCTTCGTGCAACAAGGAGAATTTTTAGATATATGCTGACAGCAATTATTGCAGGAAGGCCAAAAGCAAGAAATGAGGAAATGGTGCTGGCTGCGCTGGTTTGAAAGATAATACATGCTCCCTTACAAGCTATATTATCAAAATAAAACTCCTCTGCACCCAAAATGTTGAGTTCTAGAAATACCATAGCAAATCCAACAAAGGCTGCCAGACACCAGCATAGGGAAATCATAATGAGGGAAATGGGCGGTGTGATTTTATTCCGGTACTGAAGCGGGTGACATACAGCATAATAGCGATCGATAGAGATGAAAGAGATGTGCAAGAGAGATGTGATGCATAACATAATATCAACGCTACTGTGTATTTTACAGAACATGTCTCCCAAGTACCAGCAAGTCTCAACAGAGCGCAGCATGCTGGGAGGCATCACAAAGCCTCCGATTAGCAGGTCGGCCACGGCCAGCGACAGGATGAGGTAGTTCGTTGGCGTGTGCAGCTGCTTGAAATGAATGATGGCAATGATGACCAGCAGGTTTCCACATACTGTGGTAAGCGCTATGGCACTGAAGAAAAAATAGAACAAAATCTGAATCTCAGACGGGTAGACAAATTTAACACATGAGTTGTTGAACGACTCAAAGCAGAGAACAGGCCCATGGTCAATCCCAGTGTCAGGTCCATATCCAGACATGGTCTGTTTAAAAACACACAAAAAACATACATTTATTTATAAGCCAACAATGACATGGTTTTCTTATCACTATCATAACAGCAAAGTGATTTTCCCCACTAATAAAATACCACTAATAATTATTACATTAGATTTCAAAGCTATAACCACACAAAACATTATCAGCCCTGCAGCTTGAACAGAAATCATACCATTAGACATTCATGACAAAGACCTTACTTGTCCATGCAAGATCGAACGTGCCTAAAGCACATATTTATATCTCTCACCCCGCCTGCTTTGCATCACTACTGTCACTACATCCTTCACCTGTCAACAACAGAGAGCTTTTCCCATGAGATTTTCCCTTTAATTCGATACTGAGTTGCATAAAACAATGAATGCAGTCTGTTAACCTGTCAGTGTCCCACTTTTTTATTGTCTTTTTTCCCTATAACATATTTTTGTCATCATATATTAGGTATCATTCAAAAGCTTAAACACTCAAAACTCATCCTGTAAAACTGAACATTGTGTTTCTTTAACATGTAGCCTAGTTCTGTCTGTTTTGTTTCATTGTGTTTTGGTTCTGTTTTCCCTGTTCTGGTTTGCCTGTGATTATTAGTTTCTTAAGATTATTATTTATGCACATGTTCTGTTTTCCATTAATTGCTCAGTCTGTGCATTTAAGCTTTCAATTAATTCAGTTCTTTGTTCGGTCTCATCTTTGCTTTATGTGGTTGTTTGTTCGTTTGCTCCTGCGATCTCCTGTATGCTACTTTGTGGATTGATAAAAAATAAGTGTTTGGATACTCCTGCATCGTGTGATTACTAGTACAGCCACAGCGTGACAGAATACCGGACCTAAATAGAAATGGACTTACCAACTGTTCAACTACTCTGCCTCAAGCAGAAGGACCGTTCACTGGAGGGCCACACTAAGAACTTTTTAGATCTGGTATGCCTAATGCCAATTGCACGATTTTCAGTCATCAGATCACTGTTCTTTTCACACTCTGTGCACATTGCACGATGGATCGGCGACAGGGGGTTACATTGCATGACTTTGCAATAGGAAAAGTCGCATACATCTCTGTCTGGTCCACAAACTACGTTTCACAACCAAACGCACGCGAGAAGTGATAAGGAAATAACGCAAGATCACGCGCGCGTGAGACTGGAATTATTACAGTACTAAAAATGATAGCCCGCAAGAACCTTGCGATCCAAATTGTCTGTGCGCTGATTTGCAGTGAAAAGGAGAAAAAGAAAAAAAGATTATGGAGGAGGAAATGGTTGGCAAGACGTGGGGGTTGGGGGTAAATAAATAGTTTTACAATGTGCTGCTTTTGCGGCTGGTCAAGCAAATATTTGTGCTTTGGGTAACGCTTTAGATTACAGCCCGGAAAGTACTGCGTAGTTAAAGCGATTTTACAGCGTAACCTTCGGTAATTATAGTGTACCTATAACGTACTGACAATATAAGTATAAGGGAACAATATTTTAAGTTTGGGGAATAAAGGGGTAACAACCAGGAGAATTAAACAATTATTTATACTGTAAGTATTAAAAAACTAAAGGGTGCTTATTCTACTATTATGATATAACAATCTTACATTTGGGAGCAATTTAGCAAGAACATACCTTTTGAAATAATGGTGAACCAGTACATACTGTATAGGCTTTTTAAAAATTACAGGGTACATATCTATGCATTTATAAAGTAATCTTTTTAACAAAAGTGCACTGAAAACGAAAACTATTGCAACTTTTGCTTAAATATTGGGGAAAGATACTCTTGTTTCATGTAGTGGTGCTTGTTACCCTCTTGTTCCATGTAGTTACAGGGTAAGTGTGACATTGCGGGCTGTAAATTAAAGTGGTGCTTGTTACCCTCTTGTTCCATGTAGTTACAGGGTAAGTGTGACATTGCGGGCTATAAATTAAAGTGGTGCTTGTTACCCTCTTGTTCCATGTAGTTACAGGGTAAGTACAATAAAAATGCATACACACAATCTTATATCACAATAAAGGGGATCTACAAATTTGTGATTAAAATTGTGAAGACTTTTATTTTGACGTTTGACACGGGCGCCGCCATTTTGGGTTATGACAAGTCGCACGAGGAGAGAGTGGAGAAGAGCAGCGGCAAGCTGAAAGTGAACGTCGATATCAGGTAGTCAGTCACGATAAAAAGTCGAGTTTAGACCCGTGACATACTTAAGAGCTGCATGACGTTGCGTCTGAGTGTTTGTTTATGTGAACAAGGTTGTTTAAGTGAGTGTTAAAACAAGTTTTCTGCTGTGTTCGTGCGTGAAGCTGGGCAAAAGACCTGTTTAGTTTCAGTAAGTTTCAGTCGCGTATGAGTTAAAGCTCCAGTCCGTAACTTTTTTAAGTTAAAAATAATCCAAATTAATTATATTAAAAAAAACGTATTCTGCCAGTGGTCAAAACTATCTGCTTGCCATAGCTAGATTCAAAACGGTTAGCTTGTAATAATGATTTTAATTCCAGTGGTACTGGTGGGTTTCCGCGGGAAATTCGAGCATGTCTTTGCGTCATGACCTCCCCCCCGTACACATAAAGAAGGAGTTTCGGCTAGCCGGGTATACTGCGCGTGACGAGATGTTTAGATGTATAGGCTTTTCTCGCAGCACTTTACATAATTAAACTTATGGCATCCAGAAAGATCCAAACAACAATCATCAGGGTCAACTGGAGATTCAGCAGTTATAAAACCCCCCAAAAAAAACCGCCTCTTAGCACTGCAGATCATAACGTGATCCATCTGATCCCTGCTTACCGTACAAAGCTGCAGAGAGAGGGCGTTACAAAGAAGCAGGTGAAAAGGTGGGATGATAATGTGGCTGAGTCTCTACAGGGCTGTTTTGACAGCACAGACTGGGACGTGTTGACTCAGGGGAGCAGCCTTGAGGAAGCCACTGAAGTGGTTACTCACTATATCACCTTCTGTGAAGATATGATTGTCCCGCAAAAAACTGTGAAGGTATTCTCTAACAATAAACCCTGGATTACAAAAGCACTGAAAACCACTATTAATGAAAAGAAAATAGCATTCAAATCAGGAAACAGAATTGAGTCTAAACTCATCCAAAACAGACTGAACAAGGAAATAAAATTAGCAAAGAAAGGATACAAGGAGAGAGTTGAGAAACTCTTTCGGGAAGGCAAAGCTAGGGATGCCTGGCGAGGCATTAAAACACTGGCTGGCCTCCCCATTAATAACTCAGCATTACCCGGGACAACAGACTCTGTCAACATGGCAGAGGACCTTAACCAATTCTACTCCAGGTTTGACCAGTCTGATAATTCACAAGAGAGGGAGGAGCTAATAGCTGGGCTCACTCCTATGATACCTGCCCAAGCAAATCTGGAGTTGCGGCAGGAGGAAGTGGAACTAATGCTGAAGGGGATGAAAACTAACAAAGCACCAGGACCTGATCAGATCTGTGGCCGGTTGCTAAAGGTCTGCTGCAGCCAGCTGGCAGGTGTTTTATGCTATCTGTTCAACCGCTCTCTCTCAGAACATTCAATCCCATCAATCTGGAAATCTTCAGTCATTTGTCCAATAGCCAAAAAGAGCAATCCCACCTGCAACAATGACTATCGGCCTGTGGCGTTAACATCTTTGATAATGAAAGGCTTTGAAAGGCTTGTTCTTTCCCAGCTTCAGGAGGAGGTCAGTTTGCACATTGACCCCCTTCAGTTTGCATACAAACGGCACAGAGGTGTGGATGATGCCATACTAACACTGCTGCATGGCACTTATTCCCATCTTGAAAAGCCCAGGTCATTCATCAGACTGGTTTTTGTGGATTTCTCGAGTGCTTTTAATACAGTGCAACCCCACCTGATGGGACAAAAACTGCTCCAAATGGACGTGAATCCGCATCTTATCCTATGGATCCTGTCTTTTCTGACAGATAGACACCAGAGGGTCCGAGTCAACGGTCACCTCAGTTCGTCTAAGACAGTTTCCACTGGAGCACCACAAGGCTCTGTAATCTCACCGGTTTTGTATACACTATACACTAATGACTGTAGGAGCAATAACCCAGGTATTATATACACTAAATATTCTGATGACACTGTGATCATGGATACCACTAACTCACTACGAGAGCTACAGACCGAGATGGAACTCTTTGCGGAGTGGTGCAAGCAGAACTGTCTTGACCTCAACCCCTCTAAAACAAAGGAACTGGTTGTTGACTTTCGTAAAGATGTTTCCATCATTCCCACTTTGTTAGTCAACAACCAGCCAATAGTAAGGGTTGAATCATACAGATACCTTGGGACAATACTCGATCATAAACTTACTTTCCAACTAAACAGTGAAAACATTTTTTCTAAATGTCTGCAGCGCCTCTTTTTCTTGAGGAAGCTCCGTAGACTTCAGGTTCACCAGTCAGTCCTGATAGCTTTCTACAAATGCTTCATTGAGTCTGTAATAACCTTTAACATATCAGCCTGGTTTGGATCACTAACCAATATTCATCGTAACACACTAAACAAAATCATAACAATGAGTAGTAAAATAACCGGACAGGTGCAAGAATCACTTATCAGTATTTACAACAGGAGGACAAAAATAAAAGGAATACAAATAGCCTCTGACACCACTTACACATTGCACAGTCACTATAGTATTTTACCCTCAGGTCTGAGATACAGATCACTCTTATTTAGGACTAAGAGAGGCATGACAAGTTTTGTGCCTACTTCTATTAGAAATATGAATAGTTGATAAATTTATTCACCATGATGCATGTCCGTATGTGCGGATTTGTGAATTATTTATCTCTTCTTATTTATCTATTTTTTAACGTAACCTTTTTATGCCTACTGCTTATTTATCATTTACTTATTGTGCTTTGCAAGCTTTATTTATTTATTACTATTTATTACTTATGTGAGTGTGGTAGACTGTGCTATGTTTGTGCAACTGTACACGCATGTTGATGCTCAACACGAATGAAGTTCCTAACGGATAAATAAAG